CTGCCCCGCCTCGGGGGCGTGGGGCTCTCACTCGGGAACTCTGCGGCTGGTCTGGGGCTGGGGGGGGGGGGGGGGCAGGGGAGCGGGAGGTGCCCGAGCAGGCGCGGCTTTCCCCCGGGAAGAAAAAAAACTGGGGTTTTCCAAAACACGCAGCGCGCCGGCCCGTCCCTTCCCTCCCTGGTGGCTTGGCAGGAATGTGCCCCAGTCACAGGTCTGGGAGTCCCTCTGAGTGAGGCTTGGCCCGCGAGACTCGTGTCGCTTGTCACTCTGCCATCCTGTCTGAGCCGCCCAGCGCCATGTTCCCTTTTTAGCCGCTTAGAGCAATGCGCTGGTTCCAGCCCCAGCAGGTGAGCCTGGCGCCTGGCGCCCGGCTCCCCGCACCCCTGCCCCGCGCCCGCCTGGGCTCGGCACTGCCTTGGCCATCAGGGTGTCCATGCAGGGGCCAGGCCTCTGGAGCTGACCCTTCGCTGCGCCGGGGGCCGTGTGCTGTGCCCAGACGCAGGATGAGGGCACAGCACCGGGGGCCTCTGCAGCCAGCCCCCAGGAGGGGACCAGAGCGGGGATGGGGGCATCTAGAGAGAACGGGGACTCAGGAGCCGAGAGGAGGTGAGAGGCACAGCCATCGGTCACACGCCACCGGAGGTCCAGCGTGCTCAGTGTGGACGCTGCTGGTGCCCTTGTGGGTCCGAGCAGGTGGCCGGGGGCTGCGGAGGCCATGGGGGGGGGGCGTGACAGGAGGGGGCTGTGCCAGGGCCTTGGGAGGAGGGTGATGGTGGGCGGAGGGCCGCCGCCTCCCACCCGTGACCTGGAGTCGGGAATTCCGGGCGCCAGCTGAGGCCTGGGGAGGCGGGTACGGGGGGCTGGCAGTGCGGGGTGGGGCTGGGTGGGCCTTGCCGGTGCTTAGCCAGCCCCGGCCCGAGGCGGGGGAGCAAGGGACAGACCCGCCCGGACAGCGCCTGGGCTGTGGGCAGAGTTGGCCACCTTGGGCCAGAGTGGCGGCCTAGGTGAGCTCTGGGAAGACAGGGCACCTGCCTCCCACTGGAAGGCCCAGGCCACACCTGGCAGATGCGGCCCAGGGGCCCTGCGCTGGGCGGCTGTTTGGGGGAGCCCCTGGGGGAGGGCCTTTCTGGAGTGGGGGGCTGCCCCCTCCTGCTCTCTGAGGAGGCTGCGTGGTGGGTCCAGGCGCCCTGCCGTGGTGCCGTGACCAGGGAGCCCACCCGGCTGCTCCCAGACACACCTCTTGCGGTGGGGGGCACCCAGCCTCCCTTGCAGAGGCCGTGGTGATACCCACAGCCTGGGGCTGCTGGGAGCTTGCAGAGGGCGCCTGGCCCGGCCCGGAGCTCGTCCCCCCAGCCTCCTGGGCCCTGGGTTCCCGGTGTGGCCAGGGTCCCCGCCGCCCTGCTCTGGGCAGATGCCGGCTGAGCGTGTGTTCAGAGCTACTTCCCTAATTTCCCCAAGTCCCCCATGTGACCCGTTGCCCAAGAGTGGGGGTGGGGTCTGCTGGCCAGGGCGCACTGGGGTCGGATCCTGAGCTGAGCCGAGCCTCATCCTGGGGTGGGGGAGGGTGGTTGGAGGGGAAGGGAACCGAGGCTGCTGGGGGTCGGGGCAGGCCGTGGGGTGGGGTCTGCCTGGCAGTCCCCCATCGTCCCCACCCTGAGTAGATCCGGATCCCCTGGAGGTCAGCTCAGGGCACGGGTCTGCCTGCAGGTGTCGCCCTCGGCCTGAGCCACAGCTGCTGTCCACCCTCAGCCTTCTGAGACCTGTTTCCCTTTACCCTGGGGTGCCTGGATCCTGTGGGCTCATCCATGTCAGTTGGGGGAAGAACCTAGAGATGGTCCCGCCCCCAGTGAGGGGGAGGTGGATGCGGCTTCCATCGGATGGTTCACTCCCCAAATGGCCACAATGGCCGGAACTGCGCCAATCCGGAGCCAGGAGCTTCCTCTGGGTTTCCCACGTGGGTGCAGGGGCCCAAGGACTTGGGCCATCTTCTACTGCTTTCCCAGGCCACAGCAGAGAGCTGGATTGGAACTAGAGCAGCTGGGACTCGAACCAGAGCCCATATGGGATGCCGGCACGGCACGGCACTGCAGGCGGCGGCTATATCCGCTATGCCACAGCAAAGCTGGCAGTGTTGACCGAGGGCTCTACAGAGGGTGGCCCAGGCTCCGGCTGGAGGTGCTGATGCGTGTGGGCAGGAAGGGCCTGTCCCCTTGAACGGGTCTGACGGGGCCGGAGTGGTCAGTCTTGGTGGGGCTGGGGGCTGGGAAGGGAGGCACTGGCCTCGGGAGGCTGCCTGGCATCTGGCTGGCGTGAGCTTCCTCCGGCTTCCAGGGAGGTGGGGTGGGGCATATGTCCCCAGGGGACAGTGGCAGCAGGGAGGGCGGCTCTCGTGGACCCGTGTGCTGGGGAACCCTGGGGGCTGGCAGCCTCTGGGACACCTGACCTGACCCCGCCTCCCTGGCACCTCCTGTGGCCCCGGAGCAGACACTGGGCCTCCTCACAGGTGAGGGCCACCGTCCTCCAACCTCACTGGTCCCCAGCCCGGCCCCGTGGGCCCCTCTGGGGGGCGGGCTGCTCCCCAGGGAGGCCCTGCCCTTCCAAGGGACATGTCTAGCTTGAACACACAAACCCGTGTCCTGGGGTCGCAGCTCTGGGGGTGCTCACACACCTGCTGGTTGAGCAGGTTCCCTTGGTTCAGGGCCGCCGGCCTCAGGCAGCTGCTCTGGAGTTAGCCCCGTGCCGCCCCATCCTGTCCACCTGTGTGGGGACAGCTGGGGGTGCAGGGCGCACTGTGACCTAAGGTGTCTTATTTTTTAAGATTTTTATTTGAAAGATCTCCCATCTGCTGGCCCACTCCCCTGATGGCCTCCATCCAGGTCTCCCAGGTGGACGCAGGGGCCCTGCCTTCCCAGGCCATTAGCAGGGAGCCGGATTAGACGTGGAGCAGAGACGTGAACCGGTGCCCACACGCGATGAGGGGGTCGCAGGTGGCGGCTCAGCCTGTTCTGCCACGGTGCCGGCTCCCTAAGGTGTTCTGACCTGGGCTCCGGCAGCCTGACCCCTGGCCAGACAGAGCACCACGTGCCCAGCGCTGTTTGAGTGGCGGGGTGCTGGCCAGCCTGGGGCTGGGGGGCCTGTGTGCGTAGAAGCAGGCGCTGTGTGGAGTCCTGGAACTCCATCCGTCCACATGGACTCGGCAGGGCCAGGCCTTGGGTGCTTGGAAAGCACCGGGAACCACAGCTCACCGGGTGTCTCTTCCCGCCGGGCTTCACTGGGACTGACAGCCACTGGGACGTCCCAGGACAGAGGTTTCCCGGAGCCAGCTGAGCGAAGAATGTCCCCTTGTTTCAAGTCTTAGGTTTCCCACACGCTGGTTCACTCCCCAGACGCCTGCAGTAGTTAGCGCTCAGCCAGGCCGAAACCAGGCGTCTGAAACTCTGGTCTTGGGCGGCTGGCGGGGACCCCGGTACATGAGCCATCACCTGCTGTCACTCAGACCCAGGCGCCCCGCCCCGTGTGGGCTCTGGTCCTCCCAGGGCCACCTGACCTCTGCCGCCACCACCCACTCCCCTACCCGGCTTGCTTGTGTGTTAGGGGGGACACCTTGGGAGATGCAGCTGGAACCTGATCTTTGCAGGCACCACTCCTCCGTGGGCTGGAGCCAGCTGGGCACTGACGACCAGGCTTTGGCACATCCGGGCTGGCTTTTCCAGGTCCCGTTCTTGGAAGCAGGGCTGGGGGTTCTGTCTGGGGCTGGGGTTCCTGACCTGCAGCACAGGTTGGCTCCAGCCGTCTGGCAGTAGCAGCCCTCCTGTCAGGGCCACCAGCCGCGGCATCGGCAGCCTGGGGTGCTGTGGGTGTAAAGTCCGGGTAGCAGTAGTGAGGGCGCCGGGCCGGTGGCAAGGAAGCAGGCTGGGCAGGGCTCCCCCGGGGCTGCTGTGACAGGGAGATCCTCTCTACCCCGTTCCAGCTCTGTCCTGGCCGGGCCCCTCGCTGTTCTCCTTCCGGGGGTGTGCTGTGCAGGGCCTCTCAGAGGCCCGGTGTGAGGGACATGGGCTGCACCGGCTCCTGTGGTTCCGTTTAAATTTCAGCTGTGTCCGGAACTTGGCGCACAGAGCCTAAGGCGCTGACCCCGGCGCCGCGCGACCTGTGTCCGCCCACACTGGAGGGAAACGTCCGGCTTCGGGAGGCTGGAGATGGAGCCTTTTGAAGCGGCTTTCTAGACGCTGAGTGGACCCCGAGCGCCATCGCCTGGAGGGGCTCCGAGGGCCTGGGAACCGACTTCCCGGCGCTGGGCAGAAGTGCTGTGGATTTGGTTTTGGGTCTCGGTTTCAGGGATCCTGTAGTTCCCGTGGAGGAGCAGGTGTAGGTAGAGGGTGGAAGGGCCCCGTGCCTGCCCAGGTCCTGGCTGGGCAATGCCCCTGCCGCCCGTCAGCCCCAGCTGTGTCCCCGGCCTCCGCGCGAGGCTGCCGTCCCGCCCGGGTCCTGACCGGCGCCCTCTCTCCGCAGGGTCGGGGTGCTGGAGGACTGCTTCACCTTCTTGGGCATCTTCTTGGCCATCATCCTGTTCCCCTTCGGGTTCATCTGCTGCTTTGCCTTGAAGAAGCGGAGATGCCCCAACTGTGGCGCGACCTTTGCTTAGAGGGCACTGGCTCTCTGCTGTAAATGTGTACAGTAGTTCTGCTGGCTGAGCTTCGGGACTGTTTTGTAGGCGAGGTGGGATTAGGAGGGGCGTGCGCGAGCCCAGGGCCCTGCTCCCGAGATGAACGACAGCTCAAGAAAGCACTGCTCTTATTTTTTGCAGTCTTCAATTTGAGAGAGGTGAGAAATACTGTTTTAAATAAATGAGATTCCTACCATTGTTTACCTGGTTCTTGTTCGGTTTGCACACCGCCCTCCTGGAAAATCCCAGACATCCCAGGTACCGAGGGAAGGCGGCCCACACGCCGGCCCACGCCTGGTGACGGCGGCCATCGCTCCGGCAGCACCAGAACACACGCTCGGTTCCAAATCGCCTTTATTAGAATTTGGCATCACATCTCGGCGAGAACAGAGCCCGCACCTGGTACCCAGGACGCGCACTGCAATCCCAGGGCAAGGCTCCCCCCAGCCTCCCTTCCTGACCCACAGGGCTGTGGGGGGCCGAGCAGCCCCAGGCCAGGAGCCTTCATGGCCGAGGCAGGAACTGTCCATGTATACCGGTTTCTCTGTGCCTGACCTGGATCCGTGCAAGCTTCTAAGAAGATGGTGTATTCAGGGAGCGAGCAGAGCCGGGATAAGCAAAGCCTTCCTTGCCGACAGGCAGGCCGGGCCTCCGTGCGACCTTCCACGCACTCTACAGCAGGCCCAGCCCTGGCTCGTGTCGGGCTCAGGCTCCGCGGCTGCCAGCCCTAACCCGCGCCAGGTCACCACCCGGCTCACGCTCAGTCTGACCGTGGCGCTGCATCCGCAGGGAGGAGCAGGCGGTCGGGTACGCGCCTGCGGAGGAGCCTGGGGGCTGCCCCATCCTGGGTCGTGCCACCATTTGTTTAATCAGAAGTTTAGATTTTTAAGTTAAAAATTAATACATCTTATATATTTTCATAATTTAAAATTCTTGCATGCACAGATGCAATCTCAGACGTAGTATTCTCTAGCGAAACATCACAGCACGGAGCTGTCAGTCTGGTCTCGCTGGCATTCAGGGGCATCGGGCATCAGGCCTGGACTGCCCCTTACTCTGAAAAGAAACTCAGAGTAGTGTTAAAAAAAAAAAAAAAGAGAGAGAAAGTACCGGAACCAGATTTACTTTATGGGAAGAAACACTCTGATTGGGCCGATCATTAAGCTACTACTCATTCGTCTCAGACAGACATGCGTCCCACTGAGAATACGCTGATGCAGCGAGGCGCACACCCAGGAACCCGGAGAGCCCGCGTCTTCTCATCGGATGATGGGTGCTGATCGGTCATTGGTCACCGTCGGTCGCAGCTTCACGGTGGCGAAAGGGTTTTCTCCACTGTGGGGGAAAGAACCTCTGCAGAGACCCCCAGGATAGAACCCACCCGAGGAGAGCCGAGATGCGCTGTCCCCCCGCCCGCGCCACTTCTCTCCACGCCAGCCAGGGCTCAGCCCTCACGCTCCTGTACAGGGTGGGCGGGTGGGCCAGGAGGATGCCCGCTGTCCCTCACGCAGGTCACCGGCCTCCCGCCCCTGGGGACGGGGGTCTCGTGAGGCTGCTGCCCGCACCTCCACCTGGGGAGGGCGAGCTCGTGGCCTGTGGAGCTTAGGGTGGGGGTCACACGTACCTTAGAAAAGGGGGCTTTGTGGTTCCGTTGGCATCATTCTGTGAGGGAGAGAAAGTCGACAGGAATGGTGAACTTGGGACGTTATTTACAGAAGGCCGTGAAAAACCCTGCAGCCGAAGGGCAGGTGAGCGGCCCGCGTGCGTGTTCTGAGGACCTGGCCAGGCTCACTGGGAAGGGTGCGGGCAGGAACGGGAGGGCGCTGGGTGGGCATCAGAAGTTGGCCAACACCAGAGTGCCACAGCACAGCCTCGTGGACCAGCGTGACGTCCAGAGCGCGCAGTCTAACTTAGCCCTGGAGTGCATGATGGGAGCAAAGTCAGTGTCAGACGACACCACGGGAGTGGGGAATCGCAGGGGACGGGGGTGTCTGATTCGGGAGCAAAGTCCTGAATGACGACCCGGAAATGCGGCAAGTAAAAGAAACCGTGCAGGTCTGGGGGCTGCTGTCCTGCGGAAGTCCAGGAAGTGAAGGGAGGAGCCACCAGCACTGCCCCCCAGGGCTAGCCCTCCCCTTTCTGGCTTCACCTGCTGTTCAGAGCAATCACTTGGTGCCACTGAGATGGGTGCCCAGCAGAGGGCAGCACAACACTGTCTGACCAGCGGGCACCAGGTCTGGCTGTCCCACCAGGCCGTCAAGGCTGGGGGCAGGCTGCGGCATGGGGGCTGTGTATGACCCCAGGCGGCACTGAAGCCCGGGGCTGCCACCCTGCCTCGGCTGGCCTCTGAATGGGATGTTTCTCTGAGGTCGGGAGGGAGGGCAGCGTGGGCAGCGGAGGTGCACTTCATGCCACGCCCAGCCCCAGGCACGCCTTCTGCGGCCTCCCTTGCTGGGAATCTGGCGGAGTTGGCAGTGGGAGGAAGTGCTTGCAACCCAGCCGTCCCCCACCTGAGACACCCATGGCCAAGCCCTCACACGCAATCCTCCGGGCCCTGACCCAGCTTCTGGTGCAGCTCCGTGGCACTGAGTGAGCTGTGGCTGCTGGGCGCTGGGCCCCTGGGTCAGAGCAAGAACCACAGCGAATCCTGGCAACAGTGAGCAGGACCCACCGGACAACCCCCGGAGCCCGGCAGCTCCCCCCCGCCCCAACACAGGGCACAGCACACGGCACCAAGCCTCCCGGATGCCAGCAGCCCTGAACTAACTGCCCACAGGGGAAAGCCCAGACACCCCCAACAGAACAGGTCAGCTTCCGATCCGACACCGCCCAGCAGGGCCAGCCTGTCCACGCAAGGCCGCCCCAGAACAGGCCTCGGGGAGGCGGGGAGGCTGGCTGGGGGCTGCGAGGTCATCCGCTGAGCTGCGGCTGGTTAACGGAGTCTCAGGAAACCCGCGTGCATTCTCGTGAGGACTCGGATAAAACGCTCGCTTCTGTTGCCAGACTTCCCCGACACCTGCTGCTGTCCCGATGGGAAACCTCCGCTCTCCTCTGGGTGCGGGGTCACGGGGTCAGGAGCTGCCCCCACACTGCACCTGCTGTCACCGGCCAGCACAGTGCTCCTGGCTGCCAGCCTTCCCCACCCCCTTCTTCTTGGGTGCTGTGGGGCCAGGCAGGCCACAGTGCTCAGCAGGCTGACCGTGGCCATGGGCAAACCGGCCCAGTGGGTGCACCTGTGGTTTTGTCCCTCCAAGCGTGCCTTGTGTGGACTCTGGCCACTGTGCCCGGTGTCCATGCCTTCCCCTACCTGTTACTGTCCAGTGCCCCTAAGGGAGTGCTGCCTGGTCCAGCCGCAGACAGACCCTCGCCTGACCAGGGGCCCCGGGCCCAGGCCGTGCCGCAGAGCAGCCCTACCCGCCCCAGGGTCTCCCAGCTCACCGCCTCAAGACCCACCCAGAGAAAAGCCATGATCACAGCCATGCCAACGAAGGTGCCACTGAGCCCACCCCGGGGCTCACGGTCACAGCACACCCAGGCTTGGAGACACCCCAGGGTGCCGGCCACAGCTCTGTGGCCTGAGCTACCTGCCTCAGAAGTCCTGGAGGCCCAGAGCGTCAGGGCGGGGCGCTCCCCGTGCCCAGTGCTGTGTCAGAGGCAAGGTCACGCGGAACCGACCGCAGCGGCACACACAGCAGGAAGGATGTGTGCCATGTTCATCGCACGGCTGGCTCTCACGGGTCCGTGTCTGCTCCCCACCACCAGCCGGTTTACACAGTCAGCATGGACGGCACCCGCAGGTGCCCGGGCTGCCAGCTCCGGAGCCTCAGCCACGTACCCGCCTCCCGCCCACGACGCCTACGTGAAGTTCTTAGCAGAACGTTCTGCGATTTGGACCGGACCACCCAGTTGGCAGCCGGCAGCCACGCGCGGCTAACTGCACGCAAGGCGAAGGAACGCAGGGTGACTCCCGGGTTGCACCCTTCTTGTCGAGTGCCCGTGGCTGCCGCCCTGCACAGGCGCATGCGCAACACTACCGGGTGGCCCGCCAGCTCTCACTTCCGTGCACTGAAGCCCGAGCCGCCCCCTGGGGGACAGGACCCACGCCCGCTCCCTGCACTGCAGCTGTGTCCCTCGACTGCCGGCTGGAGCGGGCGGCGAGGCAGCGGACTGCAGAGCATCCGGAGGTCACTCAGAGAACTGGAACCTGTGTGAGCGACACAGGCAGGGTGCGCCCGTGACCCACTGTGCTGGGGCCCTGTCCTCGTTCTTCACATCCCGCAGATACAAGGGGTCCTCGGGAGGGGGCGGGAGCCCCTGAAATCACGGCCAGTGGTGCCTTTCAGGGAGGCGCTCAAGCCTTCCGATCGTTCGCCTTTTTTTTTTTTTTTAAAGATTTATTTTGAAGGCCAGAGCTGTGGCATAGCGGGTAAAGCTGCTGCCTGCAGTGCCGGCATCCCATATGGGCACCAGTTCAAGTCCCGGCTGCTCCACTCCCAATCCAGCTCTCTGCTGTGGCCTGGGAAAGCAGTGGAAGATGGCCCAAGGCCTTGGGCCCCTGCACCTGCGGGAGACCTGGAAGAAGCTCCTGGCTCCTGATCGGTTGAGCTCTGGCTGTTGCGGCCAACTGGGGAGTGAGTCAGCAGATGAAAGACTTCTCTCTCTGCCTCTCCTTCTCTGTGTAACCCTCTCAAATAAATCTTAAAAAAAGCAAAAAAAGATTTTTTTAATTTACTTGAAAGGCAGAATGACAGAGTGAAAGGGAGAGACAGAAAGAAAGAGGTCGTCCACTGCGTCACTCCCCAGTGGCTGCAGCTGCCCGGGCTGGGCCAGGCTGCAGGCAGGAGCCCGCGACTCCATCCGGGCCTCACACAGAGGTAGTGGTAGGGGCCTGTGTACTTGAGCCGTCCCAGACGCATCAGCACAGCAGCTGGGTCTCAAGGCGGCACTCTGATACCGGAGGCCAGTGCTGCAAGCCGTGTTTAATCTGCCGCGCCACACTGCCAGCCGCACTGGTTCTTGGAAGCCAATAAATGTTTTCTTGTGATTTCCACTAGCTAGTGTTTTCCATCAGCCCCTGGGTCAGAACCACAGCAAGTCCTCAGGACCTCAACGGACCGCACAGAGGACAGTGGGAGGCACCTTGTCAGGGCGGCTCTGACGCACAGATCACGGTGGCCTCGACCCACTGTGGGCCATGGGAGCTGTTTCTGCGCTTCCCGCCCTCCACGAGGGCCTGGGACACTGCTGCTTTTCTGATGCAGAGAATCATGGGAAACACCAGCTTGCACAAGTCACAGGAACACCCTCACTGGCTTTAAAGAGCAGCACAGGCCCCAGGGCCTCCGGGGTGCCAGACCCAGGCCTGTGCTGGGAAGGCAGCGGCGTGGGCTCAGCTGGTTCCAGAGGGGCTTTGGTGGCAGCGAGAGGACGCCGAGACGCTGGCGGGCAGAAGGGGAAACATCCACCTGCGTACAAGTCCACGTCGGAGCGAGTGAACGGAGTCAGCAGCTGTACAGGCAGGGGGCGCTACTCTGAGCAAGGGAGCAGTGGTTCCTCCCGGCCCCAGAGCGTGCAGGCTGCTGGGACCCGCGCCCGACTCGGAGGGAAACCCTGGCAGAGTGGCGGGGGGTGCTGTCCATTCCGGAGTTCACTCTTGTCTGTCTCCAGGCTCACAGAATTCATCAATCTGATTATTCTGAAGCAGAACTTTCCAAAAATCAATCAATCAATCAATCAGGCCAGCCCCCAGGAAGCCACTGCTTTCCAAGTGTAATGGAACAAACTGAAACCTACACACCCCAGTGTGATCCTTCCGTGAGCCTAGAGGGAGGCGTCTCCCTACAAGGTACGGTGCGCACAGCTGCGCCACCAGCCTCTTCCTGTGCACGGCCAAGCTGCACCCCAGGGACTTAGCCCCCGCCCCCCCAGAACCCTGCCGAGTGCGTAACCTAACCCCCCGTAGGATGGCCTTCCTCATCCTCAATGTTGGCATGTGAACGCCCTGGGCACAGAGTCAGCTAAGCTGTTGCGAACGGCTCCGAAGCACGTCTGAGTACAGACCTGCGCCAGGACGGAGCAGACTCCGGTGGTCACCGGCTGTGCCAGCTGGCCATGTCTGCAGTGAGGCACCGCCACGCCCAGGCCTCGCGTGTGCCCTTCAGAAGCAGAGCTCTGACCGGCCCTGGGGACTCAGCCGCTGTCGGGCGTGGCCGGGAGCCCTGGGGGATGGACTCCATCCTGTCTAAAGCACTGACCACGCCTTTTAAGGGCAACTTCCAGTCATCGGGAGTTCATGAGCAGTCGCGTTCTGCCCCTGGATAAAGGCGGGACACCTGGGATTATCACCAGGCCCTGTGCGCGGCGTGGGGGCTCTAGGCGTTCTCAGGAAATCAATGTTAGAGGTCGCTAGCCCGGGAGACGGGAACCGGGGACTGACTGGAGACGCCCTGGAGTCTGAGCGGGCAGCCGGGTCAGATCACCTGCCCTGCTCCCAGTGAGGCCAGGGCCTGTATGCAACCCGCAGCTCCCGGGCAGCCTCGGCACTCTGCAGTGCCTGCAACACCGAGGTCTGAGGTGAGGCCAGGCCACACTTACAGCAGCCACTGCGATGTGGGAGCTCACCGAGGCCGATGAGCGCGCTGTCTCCAAGCAGGGTGTCTGGGTACACGCTCCCCACACCAGGCCTTAACTCAGTGCTAACGAGCACTTCTAGGCAGGATTCCTTTACCTTAGAAGGCCGTCAACAACCTGGATAAGGCAGCGGGGCTCGGCAGAGAACCAGAGGTGCTCACCTCCAGCGGTGACAAGAGCTGTCAGGCCTGTGCTCCGACTGCCAGTCTTGGGAGCACAGGCAGAGGGAGGACGCGGCGAAGGACACCAACAGCGGACCCACCCGGTTCCTTACAAATCGGCACCAAGCAAAGGGACAGGAGGACCCAGGACTCATCACACAGCGTGGGACCCACTCACACTCACGGCAAGCGACGCAAGTGGAGCAGCCGGGACTTGACCCGGCGCCCATGTGGGATGCCGGCACTGCAGGCGGCGGCTTTACCTGCTGCCCCACCTGCGGCAGCCCCAACTTTTACACTTTAAAAAGGGCTGGTGGTGTGGCATAGTGGAGGAAGTGGCCACTGCAACTACGGCATCCCATAAGGGTGCTGCCTTGTGTCCCGGCTGCGCCACTTTGATCCAGTTCCTTGCTATGGCCTGGGACAAGCAGCAGAAGATGGCCCAGGTCCTTGAGCCCCTGCCACCCGTGTGGGAGACCTGGAAGAAGCTCCTGGCTCCTGCCTGGCCCACCTTTGGTGTTGTGGCCATCTGGGGAAAGAACCAATGATGAAAGACCTCTCTCTCTGTAACTCTTTCCAATATATAAATAAATCTTTGAAAAAAAAACCCAAAGTTATTATTATTATTTCAAACTACTTCACAAGTAGTCTGAATGTTTTAGGAAGCATGAGGGCCTTGAATATTGCTGCAACCCCAGCCCTGATGTCACTGCCGCGCCCAGAGCGGAAAAGCTTTGTTTTCAAGAACCACGTGTCACTTTTGGGGAACACTTTTGTTGGCGTTTGATATTTGCCGTAATCTGGAACGTCAAAAGTGCAAACAACATGTCACTCAGTGCTTATCTGAGAAGGGGTGCCAAAGGCATTCGGGATGGGATTTCTAAAGCAAGGAGGCCAGCACTGTGGCGTACCAGGCTCAGCCTCCTCCTGCGGCGCCGGCATCCCATGTGGGCACCGGTTCCCGTCCCAGCTGCTCCTCTTCCCGTCCAGCTCTCTGCTATGGCCCGGGACAACGGCAGAGGGTGGCCCAAGTGCTTGGGTGCCTGCACCCATGTGGGAGACCTGGAAGCCGCTCCTGGCTCCTGGCTTTGGCCTCCTTACCCTGGCTGCTGTGGCCATTTGGGGAGTGAACCAGCAGATGGAAGATCCATCCTCTCTCTCTCTCTGCCTCTGCGTCTCAAATAAATAAAGAGGTTTTTATTTTTTCAAGTACCATGCAGAGCTTTTCTTTCACAGTGCTCACTGAAAACAAGCATGAAACAGAACAAAACTCAGCAGTTCAGGGGCACCGACTCAGCTGGCCTTGGTCACCATCGTCCTGGGTGAAGGTCCCAGGCAGGGACTGTCCCCTTCCCCCACCAACGGCAGCTTCTCCCGTCCCCAGCCAGGACTCTTTTTGTGTTTTTTTTTTTTGTTTGTTTGTTTGTTTTTTTTTTCTGACAGGAAGAGTGCACAGTGAGAGAGAGAGACAGAGAAAGGTCTTCCTTTGCCATTGGTTCACCCTCCAATGGCCGGCGCGCTGTGGCGGGCACACCGCACTGATCCGATGACAGGAGCCAGGTGCTTCTCCTGGTCTCCTATGGGGTGCAGGGCCCAAGCACCTGGGCCATCCTCCACTGCACTCCCTGGCCACAGCAGAGAGCTGGCCTGGAAGAGGGGCAACCGGGACAGAATCCGGCACCCCGACCGGGACTAGAACCCGGTGTGCCGGCGCCGCAAGGCGGAGGATTAGCCTAGTGAGCCGCGGCGCCGGCCCCCAGCCAGGACTCCGATCCCAGCAGGCTGGGCCTGGATGTACACCCCACGCTCTGCACGCTTCACTATCGACAGCTCTGTGTGTTTTTTATCTCATTATCGGCTCTCTTCCTGGGACAGAAGCTCTGGAGGAGCCAGGGACTGGGCCCAGCACACATGCCTACCCTCTGCTCGCTCTTGCCAGGTTTGGGGTTAAAGGTCACACACATTCTTTACATCACGGCCAGGTACAAAGTAAACACTGAGGAAAAACCAAGTGACCACTTCTGACCCAAGTTTCTCATCAGAAAACAACATGAAAATGGGAGGAAAAAGGCAGGAAATGGCGATTAGGTGACTAAAACCCTGCAGCCAGGATTCACGGCTGTGACGGACTGAAAACCTAGCAGAATCAAGAATCCAGCACTCTACGTGCTCGCTGCGTGTAACTGCCACGACGAGGCAAAGCGGAACACAAGGAGGCCTCGGGTACAGGGCACAGGTCGTGGGAAGGGAGTCTCAGCAGAAAGCGCCCGCCCTGAGCACACCACCTTCCTGTCCACTTACACCCCGCCCCATCAGGGGCCACCTTCCTGTCCACACCCACACCCCCCAGGACGCCACCTTCCTGTCCACACCACACCTTCCCGTCCGTACCTCACCCCGGGATGCCACCTTCCTGCCCACACCACACCTTCCCGTCTGTACCTCACCCCGGGACGCCACCTTCCTGTCCACACCCACACCCCCCAGGACGCCACCTTCCTGTCCACACCACACCTTCCCGTCTGTACCTCACCCCGGGACGCCACCTTCCTGTCCACACCACACCTTCCCGTCTGTACCTCACCCCGGGACGCCACCTTCCTGTCTACACCACACCTTCCCGTCCGTACCTCACCCCGGGACGCCACCTTCCTGTCCACACCACACCTTCCCGTCCGTACCTCACCCCGGGACGCCACCTTCCTGTCTACACCACACCTTCCCGTCCGTACCTCACCCCGGGACGCCACCTTCCTGCCCACACCGGTACCCCGCCCCCAGGATGCCACCTTCCTGTCCACACCCACACCCCCCAGGATGCCACCTTCCTGTCCACACTTGCGCACCCAGCACACAGGCGAGTTCTACTCACAGGAGGCGTGGCTTCTGGTCTGGACCCGGGCGCTCTGAAGGTGGAGGCGCTCTCGGCAGTGCCCCCTCTCTGGGCGGCAGCTGCTCCCGTGGACAGACACTCGAGGTAATCGGGCGGGGGGATGGCCACACTGCTCTTCTCACAGAGGTTCACGGTGCTGACGCTTCTCACCGGTGCCGGGCTCCAACCCAAAATGACAGAACCCGGTTAGAGGAGGCCCACGGCCAACAGGGCAGTCAGGAGAGGACCAGCACCCCTCCCCCTCCCCATGTCACTCTGTGTCAACACTGGATTGATTTAGTTATCAATTAAGATAATGAAGACTAGAGCAAAACCTTAGCAAGTCCTGCACACTTAAGACGCAGGTGCCGCTGAGGGGCCGCCTGGACGGGGAGTGGGGAGCCCGAGTGGTTCAGGGTGAAGACGCGGTTTGGCGCGGAGCAAGTGCCCGCTCCTTTCCTCGCCGCCCGGGGTGGCTGTGGAATGAGCCGTCTCAGCGGCAGCTACGCCACCTGAGCAAAACACAGACACGGCACAGGCACCGACTGAGGCCCGTCGGCGTGGCCGAGGCTGTGGGGCAGGTGCTGGTCCGGCCCGATGGACGCCAATGTTTAAGGGGCGGGCAGCAAGGGGGGCTGCAGAGGAGACGGAAGAGGGGTGGCGGCTCGCTGAGGATCCTGGCAAACACACCGCAGGTCAAGGAGCCCCAGTGAGGGCCTTCCAGCCCGTACTCCAGAGCCAGGGCCTGCCAAGTGAGAGCACAGAGAACGTGTGCCTTGGCTTGGGCGCCAGCGCCAGGGGAGGGCTCGGGAGGGCGGACGCAGGTGGCGGGGGTGGTCTGGAATCGCCGCCGCTGATGGTTCTGCAGGCTGAGGCTTCTCCGTGGGGTTCGCTGCGTACCCACATCAAAATTCTGCTGTGCCCGAAGACATCCGGGCAAAGTCAGTGGTCAGGGAACCGAAACACATTCACTACCTCGGTGTGGGTGGAGCCACGGTTTCCTGTGCGTTTTCTTCCAGCAACTTGGTGTACGAGGATGGGAACCAGCCCCTCCTGTGGGTCAGAGTGAGAAAAAGGCTTCTCTGTGGGGTCAGCAGGAAACACAGGGCGACTAGAGGTTGTCCTGACGGTGGCGGCGCGGCAAGGCCGGGCCGTGCTGCCATGAAGGCCCGAGTGTGGACGGAATGAAATTAGGGCTTTCAGATACACGGAGGTACTGCACATACGATGAATACTGTATATGTAACAGTTGTATTTGTGTTTCCTCTATTCTTTTTTAATCTCCTGAGTAATCTACGTAGCATGCTGACATAACCTAGTTACAGGAAGGTGTGTGTACTCGCGCAGGGCTGAAATGCAGAAGATGGCATTTAAACCTCGCATGTGTTAAACTCTAACAAAGTAGATCCGACATGCAGATTATCCTTGAGAAGACAAAAGCCACATTTACAAGAAAAATAAAAAGCTAACTTTCAGAGGTGACTGTGTGTGATCTGGTAATGTACCAAATTTATACACGCACAGACAGAAAAAACAGCCCCACTAACTCCAGTTGACCAGGGCAGAACTGTAAGACCGAACCCTGGCTACAAGGCTAACAGGCCCACGAGGGCAGCGCTGGGGGCCGCGAGCAGAGCCCCAGCCGAGACTTACGCTCTGGTAGTGTCGTGCTCGCCGTACAGCCAGCCGTCCTTCTCTTCGGCCACGAGCAGCGTGAGGACGTCTCCCTGTGCGAAGCTCAGTAAGGTCTTGTTGGTGCCGGCGGTGTGCGGGAAAATGGCCTTCACCCTCTGCCTTCTCATCAAGTTCAGGCCAGTGGCCACTGAAACAGAGCGCTGCAGGCTGGCGTCTTCCGAAGCAGCTGCGAAGCGAGCAGGCAGTCTCAGCTCCGCCCAGAGGGCACTCAGAGAGCCCCCGCTCCCACAGCCCGCGAGTCCCTCGCCTGTCGCTGCCTGGGGGCCAACGGGCAGACCGGGGCGGAGGGTGGTTCACAGCTCTGCAGGCGACTTGAACCCCGGCTCTTTGCACAGAGGCAGCTCCAGGACTCCAGTGTGCTCAATGATCTCAAAGATCACACAGCCAACAAGTGGCAGAGCAGGAACCTGCCTCGGGCCTCTGCTCCGAGCTCGGCGCTGCCCAGCTGTGTCTGTTCGCACCCAGACTCATGTCATTTTTCTGTACAAACTTTGCTAGCCCAGTATATTTAATTTAAAACATCTGAGACCTCTTCTTGCTTTACTCTTGCAAATTCTTAATAATTACAACACCAACTTGCTGTTTCCTTAACGTGCTACCTGGCGGCACCGAATCACTTACGGGCAACTTTTTTTTTTTTTTTTTTTTTTTTCTGACAGGCAGAGTGGACAGTGAGAGAGAGAGACAGAGAAAAAGGTCTTCCTTTGCCGTTGGTTCACCATCCAATGGCCGCCGCGGCCGGTGCGCTGCGGCCGGCGCACCACGCTGATCCGATGGCAGGAGCCAGGTGCTTCTACTGGTCTCCCATGGGGTGCAGGACCCAAGCACTTGGGCCATCCTCCACTGCACTCCCTGGCCACAGCAGAGAGCTGGCCTGGAAGAGGGGCAACCAAGACAGAATCCGGTGCCCCGACTGGGACTAGAACCCGGTGTGCCGGCGCTGCAAGGCGGAGGATTAGCCTAGTGAGCCGCGGCTCCGGCCCTGGCAACTTTCAACTGGTTGTCACCACAAGAGCCGGAGTCACGGAATAAACGCTGCACAACCATACAGCTTAGCTTTATACATTCAAATTTTCAATTTATTTTTAAAATTCATTTGAAAGGCAAAGAGAGACAGACAAAAACAGAGAAACTTCCCCTCTACTACTTCACTCCCCAGATGTCCCCAACAGCCAGGGCCGGGCCAAGAAACTCAACCTAGGTCTCCCGGCGGATGGCAGGGAGCTAACAACCTGGGTTACCACCTGCTGCTTCCCAGGGTGCATTAGCAGGAAGCTGGAACAGAGAGCAGAGCGGGACTTGACCCAGTCCCTCCAACACGAGACATGGGCTGCCCCGGCGTCACGGAGCGCACAGCACTTCCTTCCAAGGCCAGTGCCTGCCAGACGGCCCCCTTCCCACTCACAACCCCGGCTGTCGTCCTAGAAGCCTCGGTCGTGCTCAGCAGCTCCACAGGCGCACTCCAGCGCCAACCCTGGCTGCTGCCACGTTCAGATCCAGCAGAGGCCTGGAAGGTCCTGGGTGCCAGGCCCCGTGCAAGGAGTGAAGCCTCACGAAACATCTGCCGAATCTGCCGACAGGGCCGAAGCCAAGCAGCTGAAAAGCGGCGTCAGTTAAGACGCGAGCAGCAGGAACTCCTGTCTCTGGATAGTGTGAGGTGCACAGAGCACTGGGCCTGCTGATAAAATTCATAACCACAATTTTGTTGTGTAAACCTCTCTGGCTTGTTGTATTGATAAAGAGATTTTATTACAACTGCCACGACACAGGGAACAAAGTGCGAGGCTGTGCACGTTCTCCGCGAATGTTTACACCCCACCCCCCAGCAGTGTTTGCCCTGTGTCAACACCAGCCTGTGCTATAGGGCTGCCGCCCGCCACAGGCCTCAACGCAAAGCCCGATGTTGAGACGTGGCTAGTCGAGGCTTCAGGGCTGAACATCCACCTCTAAAGCAAGATACACGCACCCCCAGTACAGTACTGACAGCTTACTTTTTAAAATGCACAAGAATCAAACCGCAGTCTCTTACCTGTGGAATTATTTGTCTTTTCTGAGCTCTGAGTGACTGTTGCTGGGTTATTGAACATATCAATCAAAGGACTGGTATAGGCTCTGGCTGACGGAGCGGGGGGCATCTTTGGTGAATGTTTAGAAAGGGTGTCGTAGTCTTTCCCAACCTGTGAACAGTTCTGTGTTAGTCTACTATCAGGCACCAAAGCAGCGGCCACCTGCCCCAGGCCCCAGGGCTGTTGCCTACCGCGTGCTTTCAACTCCACCTTGTCCCCCCAGCTCTCTCAGTTGTAGGGCAATGCCCCTGCTTTTATAAAAAATTCTGATTTGAAAGGCTGAGAGAGATATTCCATCCACTGGTTCACTCCCCCAAATGCCCGCAACACCCAGGTGTAAGCCAGTTGAAGCCTGGAGCCTAGAACTCCATCTGGGTCTCCCGTGTGGGTGGCAGGGACCCAAGAACTTGGGTTATCCTCTGCAGCCTCCTAAGTGCACTAGCAGGAAGCTAGATTAGAAGTGAAGCAGGGGCCGGCGCTGTGGTGCAGTGGGTTAACGCCTTGGCCTGAAGCACTGGCATCCCCTATGGGCGTCGGTTCGAGTCCCGGCTGTTCCACTTCCTATCCAGCTCTCTGCTATGGCCTGGGAAACAGTAGAAGATGGCCCAAGTCCTTGGGCCCCTGCGGCCGCGTGGGAGACCCAGAAGAAGCTCCTGGCTCCTGGCTTCGGATCGGCGCAGCTCTGACCGTTGTGGCTATCTGGGGAGTGAACCATCGGATCGAAGACCTCTCTCTCTCTGCCTCTCCTGTGTAATTCTTTGAAATAAATAAAAATAAATCTTAAAAAAAAAAAAAAAAAGTGAAGCAGGCGTAGACCCCAGGCACTCCCTGTAGGGGGTGTTCGTGTCCCAAGTAGCGGCTTAACCTGCTGAACCAATTTCTATTCCCAGTGCCCCATTTTGAATTCAAGAGTATCACCCATTTGTTTGTTTCATTTTGGTCTTCACCATCATAAAAAGCAAGAACAAAAAAGCAGTTATCCCCCACTCCCCTTAACCATCTGCCAACCACTAACCTACTTTCTGTTTCTATAGGTTTTAGGCTCCTTCTAAGTCACCGATTTGCATGCAGCCTGCGGCCCCATCCCTGAAGTGTTTCTAGAACTTTCTCTTTATCCCTAACATTCTGCAACTCAAACCCAGTCTATCAAGCAACTAGTCTTTTCTGTCCATCCAGAATCCCTCTGGCCACTGTGTTAGGCCAAGCAGAAGGCCCTGCAGTGACCTCTCCAAGGCCACAGGAAGAATGTGAGAGGGGTGAGAAACAGGTGGACTGGGGATCTGCTTTGGAGATAGAAGTAAAGGGATAAAGTGTACACCTTACATCATCTCTAGATGACTTACGATACCTGACACAATGGAAATACCATAAAATAGTGAAAAATGACAAGGAACACATCTGCACAGAAGCACTGTTTTCCTGAGTATTTCTGATCCCCTGCTGGCCGGCTGTGCAGGCGTGAAGTCCCTGGGCAGGGAGGCCCTGGCTCTCTGAGTCTTTGCTGCCTGTGCTCATGACCACAGACCCACAGCGACACGGGAGAGGAAGACACACTTCCAGGAGTGTGCCCTGCCTCTGTGGTCCACGCATGCTGCTTGTCCAATAGACAGGAGTCCCTGGGGCCTGCTGCTTAGCACGGGTGGGACAAGGGGAGGGGACTGATGAGCTCCCCAGCTGATGACATACACAGATGCCCCTGGTTCTCTCCCCCTTCCCATGGCACCAAGCTCACTGCTCTGGGGAGCGGCTCCACCTCTGCAGGGGTCCTGTCCTGCACTGGCCTGGGGCTAAGACTTCCTTCCACGTGGATTCTCCAGGGGCTTTAAATAGAGAGGCAGTGGATCCACGGGAGCTTGTGAAGAGCAGTGAAGTCTAGATTCAGAGAGCAGCAAACGACAATGCCCGAATTCAGTGCCTGATCCTCTGGTGACCAGCTTCCCTGGAGCGCCTGACACGGTGACCAATGCTGGCAGATCATCATTATTATTTTTTTAAGGTAGCTCTTGCTCTCTTTTTTTCCCCAGAAAAGCTTATTTATTTATTTATTTTTGGGTAAAGAGAGACAGAGCGAGAGAAACAGAGCAAGTGAGCAAAAGATGCTCCTACACACTGGCTCACACACCTAACGCTTACAACAGCCAGGGCTGGGGCTGAAGCAGGGAGCCAGGTCTCCCACACAGTGGGACAAACTTGAGCCATCACTACAGCTTTGCAGGTCCACATTAGCAGGAAGCTGGAGTCAGGAGCCAGGGATGGGACTCACACCCAGGTACTGTGACGTGGGGCGTGGGCGACACAAGCAGCATATGACCCACTAGGCCAGAAGTCTGTCTCACGTCAGACTTTTTCTCATCTATTCTGCTTATATAACTTGTAAAGCCGGAATCCTTAAAAACACCAACAATAACATTCCCCAAGACAGGAACACAGAACATGAGACAGCTGGAGAGCAAGTTCCCAGTCCGCACGGAAGGGGCAGCCAGGCCCCGGCGTGGACACAGCCCACACCACGCGAGCACACCACAGAAATCGGAGCGGTGTCGGCGCCTACCACGCTGCTCCTCTCGATCATGGGTGACGGCTGAGGCGTCCCGGACACCGGGGTGGAGGCGGGGGTCGTTATTTCTTCTATCATGTTTATGATTTTCTCCGGCACTTTGGTGACATCACCACAGGTTTCCTGCCATCTGGGCAGCTTGGAGTTAAGTAACTCCGCAGACTGTAAATTCGAGAGAAACAAAGCTTAAGACAAAGGCACTCTGCTGGAAAAGCTGACGAACATCTCACGTGGTGTCGTCACTGGTAACGCACTCCTGGCTCAGCACCAGGTGCAATTCGGTGAGCAGGCGCAGCACCTAAGAGCCACGTCTTCTGTGCCAAGAAGCACCCAGGCTTCAGCGCCAGAGGGATCCCCAGGCGCCCTCAGTGTGCACACAGGCTTACGACCCAATGAGGGCTGTGAGTTATTAAGAACAAGTCCAGACACTAAGGGCAAGGGCTGAGCTGTCTGCATGAATCCCCACTACTTTCTGGTTGGCCTCAGAAGTGCCAACTACCGTATTCTCCCTCCTACTTCTAAGAGCAGCACCTCCTGAGATGCAGAGGAGCCAGCTCTCTGACCTCGCAGGACTCAGTGCACGGGTTAGATAGTGGATCAGATTCTGTCCAGCACAGAGGGCTCACAGACAGGTGTATCGGGCAGTGTCGAGGACACTCCTGCTGCACAGTGACCGTGGTGGCTTCGGAGCAGCACAGCAGGGATGCAGACAGGCACAGATGAGGTCCTGTGGCCCTGGGGGCTGCGGCTGCTCTCCCGTGAACCTGGCTCTGCTTCTACCACCAGACTCCTGGGGGTTCCCCTAAGCCTGAGAACCCCTTTCCTAGGGCAATCTGGTTGGAAAAGGGGAGCAGGGGTCCTGGCCTGAAACAACTGAGGGGCAATCTCATGGATCTCAGCCAGCCTCTACTCAGGAGTGCTAGGACCCCAGCCGCCTCCCTGGAGCACGGGGCAGGGCAATGCCACCGACCACCTGCTTGGGCCTCTTTGCCCAAGAGCCACGGAAAGACCCGGGGTCCTTCAGCTGGGAGGAAGGAAGGCACCGACAGCTTCCTGGCGGCCGGGGCGACGTCCAGCACAGAAGATCTGGTTCCTGTCAGCCTAACGCTCACGACTGGGACCCAAAGTCAAGTCTAAGACAGGCTCTGCCAGAGCCAGAGCACATGGCGCACGGGCCAGGCGCCCGTGACGCAGGGACACCGCCACAGGGACAGCCGCGTGGCCGTGCCTGCCGCCTCAGGACGCGGCCGCAGCAGGCTGCCCTCTGTGGGAACCGGGATTCCAGAGCAGCACGCGTACGGATGCACTGTGGACACGAGCGGGCATCCAACAGAGCCATTCTCCCTCTGCTCTGACAACTGTGGGTCTAGGCATGTAGATTCAGTAGCTACACACTCCCTACGGGTGCAAAAACATTCGAGAATAGGTAACGTGTGCACACAGCAAAGGCCAGGGGAAGGCAGCTGGTGCCCACTTTCTCGGGAAGTCTCCCGCATCAGGGAGCGCCGAGTTAAAGACCTGGTGTCCTGGTGGGGGACAGTGGGGGTGTGTGGCCTGGAGCAGCACTGCTACTGACCACACCCTACCCCTCAGACCCACAAAGGAATGCGGTAAACCTCCCAGGGGAGCAGGCCGGGCACCCTGGGATCACCCAGTCTGATGAGGCATCAGAAAGTCTGCGAGAAGTCGACTCACAGGTGAGAAAAGCGGAAAAAGAAGCTGTTTTCAATGAAGCGTGATTTTATGAGGGATTTTGAAAATGGATGTGCTGCTAAATAAATTAAATGCAACGAGCAGACCCTGGACCACTTCGTCTGTGTTTCTCTAAGTTTACATATTCCAGTTGGCCCAAAACTGCTTCTTGGGAGTCTCCTTGTTGGCGAAACAGGCCCAGGCAGGGAGGCCTCCAGCGAAAGGCGGGCACCCTGAGACGGAAGGCGGAGCCCTGCGCCCACCTGCAGGTGGTACCGGTGGATGTGGTCCACGAAGCTGCAGTGCTTGTCCACCAGGAAGCAGAAGCGCCTCTTCTCTTCCAGCAGGGCTTCCTTGCAGCCGTCTGCGATGAACTTCTGGATTTCACTCTGGCGAGAGGTAACGGTCTCTACGTACTGGCAAAACACATTCCAGTCACACAGGGATGACAGCAGGCGTCAGACGGCAGCAGCCTGTCACTCACCTTCTGCTATCTTCACCCTTGTTTTATTTTGATAATGGAGCAAACACTAGACGCAGATAAACATGAGACAGATGTGTCTCCTGAGGGTGTCGTTAGATCCCTGACTCACAAGTGGAGATGGACAGAGGGGTCAGAGGCTGTGTCCTCCCGCAGGGCCGTGTGCCCTAGATGCTACCTCGCGCCGGGACATCAGTGTGCTCTGCTAGGGACCGGGCAGCTGCAGGATCAAACCCCAGCTCTAGGCCGGCGCCGCGGCTCACTAGGCTAATCCTCCGCTAGCGGCGCCGGCACACCAGGTTCTAGTCCCGGTCGGGGTGCCGGATTCTGTCCCGGTTGCCCCTCTTCCAGGCCAGCCCTCTGCTGTGGCCAGGGAGTGCAGTGGAGGATGGCCCAGGTGCTTGGGCCCTGCACCCCATGGGAGACCAGGAAAAGCACCTGGCTCCTGGCTCCTGCCATCGGATCAGCGCGGTGCGCCGGCCGCAGCGCACCGGCCGCGGCGGCCATTGGAGGGTGAACCAACAGCAAAGGAAGACCTTTCTCTCTGTCTCTCTCTCTCACTGTCCACTCTGCCTGTCCAAAAAACAAACAAACAAACAAAAAAACAAAAAACACCCCAGCTCTAAACGCCAGTCACACGACTTCTCCCAGGCCTCCTTTTCCCGCCTGTACAGTGGGGACAGTGCCCCCTTTCCCTGCCTGGTTCATGAGAAGAAGCTCTTTTTGGGAGGCCACTGAGTACTCTGGGAAACTAAGTCAGCGTGCTTTCTGTCCACTTCAGCGAGGGCTCGTGTGGAAGCTGACCTCAGTGAGCAGGCCTCCCCCTCACCCGCACAAGAGGGCACACACGTCACCGCAAGGCTCACCTCTATTTCCTTGTGCTCGTATTTCAGCGCATTCCGCCCTCCTTGGCTTTTCCTTCTGATCTTCTTCAGCTCGGCCTGCGATTTCTCCAAGGAGTCTAGCTTGCTCCTGTGCTCTGCCTGGTACCTCTTCAGAGTCGCCTGCAGGTTCAACGCCGGGCTTACTTCACCACGGCACTCACCGCGAGCGCGCTTGCCCACGCCTCCTCCCCGACGCCTCCCACGGCCCCTCTGCTCAACGTGGACCTGGATGCTTTGTGAGGGGCCCTGAGCAGAAGACAGCAATGTCTTCTCTTTATCTTTTTCTTTTTTTTTTTCTTTTTTTTTTTTTTTGACAGGCAGAGTTAGACAGTGAGAGAAAGGTCTTCCTTTTTCCATTGGTTCAACCCCCAAATGGCTGCTACGGCCGGCGCACTGTGCCGATCCGAAGCCAGGAGCCAGGTGCTTCCTCCTGGTCTCCCATGTGGGTGCAGGGCCCAAGCTCTTGGGCCCTCCTCCACTGCACTCCCGGGCCACAGTAGAGAGCTGGACTGGAAGAGGGGCAACCGGGACAGAATCTGGCACCCCAACAAGGACTAGAACCCAGAGTGCCAGCACCACAGGCGGAGGATTAGCCAAGTGAGCCGTGGCGCCCGCCTATCCTTTCTTCCAGGGTTTTCTGACACTGCATGGTGAGTGCTGTGGTGAATACATAAACCATATCGGATCACACACTCCTGGCTGTTTCATGACTTACTAGGTCAAGAAACAGAACGAACAATTGTAACGGCTTCAGTAGGGGCTGGGGCCTGACAGGCCCAAGGTGCAGTCCTAGCTTCATCCCCATCTCAGCAGTCACTCGGTTTCTCTGAAACCTATGCTTCCCTCTCGTCTATACAGTGAGGAAAAGAAGGGTGTCACGTTACAGGGTTTGCATAGAAGTCAGATGGCACATATGAAAGAACCCGGCACTGAGCAGGTCCCAGCAGCCAAGGCCTCACCAGTGTGTGCCCACCCTGGCCATGGACCTCACGAGGTCCCTACCCTACCAACTTATCTACGGACCATGGAGGGATGACTTCAGGGTCACTGCACTGCTTACTGCCATAAGGGGTCTCGGTAAGAGGCAAGGGGACTGTGGATGACAGAAGACTATTGGAAGCAGAAAGGGGAGGTGGAGAGCCTTGGGCACCAGGGTTGGAGGACCAGACAGGAGACCCAGAAACTGCTCCACTGGGCAGTATCAGAGATGGGCATGCAGGAGAAGTCTGCAGACTGCACCAAGGGGCCACAAGGAGCCCCTGGTGGAGACCCCCCACAATGACTCCTGTTACAAGGGCAGCTGTGAAACATGCACCCAGACGTCTGTCACAGCTGCAGGTCCTCTGAAAACTGATTTTTCTTCAATGCTTTTTCATAAAGATCCCCAGTGTTAGCATAAAGAACTCCACAGGCTGGCACTGTGGTGCAGTGGGCTAAGCCTCTGCCTGCAGTGCCGGAATCTCACATGGGAGCCGGTTCTAGTCCTGGCTGCTCCTCTTCAGATCCAACCCTCTGCTATGGCCTGGGAAAGCAGAAGATGGCCAGATCCTTGGGCCCCTGCACCCACATGGGAGCCCTGGGGGAAGCTCCTGCCTCTGGCTGGCTCGGCTCCAGCCGCTGCCGTCATCTAAGGAGTGAACCAGCAGATGGAAGACCTTTCTCTGCTTCTCCCTCTCTCTGTAACTCTGCCTCTCAAATAAATAAAAAAAAATTTTCTTTTAAAAGAAACCCACTCAGCCCTTGGGGGCATCCAAGGGGACATCAACGCCAAGCTCTGCCCACATCTGCCGACAGAGCCGAGGGGAAAGTTCCCAGGTGCCATCAGGCACCAGGACAGGGGTGGTAGCAAACTGTGCACTCACGTTCATGTATTTCACGTCAAGTTCTATCTTCTTCTCCAACTCATGGATGATCTCCTTGTGGAATTTTTTGAACTGTTCACAAAAGGAATAAACAATTCACACCAGATTAGGGGCTTTAAGCAAAATAAGTTAAAAAAAAAAAAAAACCAAGCAAATAATTTTGTGAATCTAAAGAGTTCACGTACATTTTCATCGAGACTCTCATTGAGTTTCTTGTGGGTGTTCGAAATCTCTATGAGAACATGGCCTGTGAACAAAATCAGGTGTGTTAGGGGCTTTGTCAAGATACTACAGGAAGTAAAGGAGGGGAGGGGTCACCCCGGGGACCTCAGGCCCAGATGGACGGGTTCCAGACAAACAGCAGAGGTCAAGTCCACCCACAGCATCATCCAACAAAACAACGCGGCTCTTTCTTCTAATCCACACTGCTCTTTCTACATCTACCTGTTCCCTACGCTGAACCTCCTAAGTGACTGAATTTTGAAATTCTCTTATAAATGATTACCTTGGCCATCGCAGTAATTAACTATGGAAACAAATTATTTATTCTTACTTAATCCCCGGGACATGCTGATTAATCGTGAGGCGTTAAGAGAAAGCAGCTATTTTCTTTATCTTATTTTAGTTCACAGACCACTCTGGGAAAGATGAAGGCCAGGGGAAACTGCACCAGGCACAGGGCTCTCCTGGGATGACAACAGCTCTAGACACAGGCAGCCCTGTGACAGGAGGGAATGTTCCAGGGAAGGGAGCCTCCCCCGTGGACAGCCACAAAGCAAGCGCTGGCTTTGGAGCACACCTGCCTGGCGGCAGCAGCAGACCCTACCAACTTATCTACGGACCAACAGGGAGAACCACAGGAACCCACGGAACCAGCACCACCCAACAGACCAGGCCTCAACCAGGAGCACTAGGGGCGGGCTGAGCCGGCAGGTCAGATGCCAGATAAGGAGCTCCTGAGGGGGACTGAGAGGCTGCTGTAGACAAGGAAGAATTAAAATTAAGACGGTGGTGCAATAGAGCGAGAACACAGACAGACTCTGCCTCTGCTGGTACCTCCTTACAAGTGACTCCACCACTCGTTCAGGAAGATCCTCAGCTATCTGGCTCAGGAATCACCAGCCCAGGCTTCTCCCCCATCTCTGCACAAGGAGCCACAGTTCCCTCCTACGAGGCCTCTCACACTCCGTGCGTCCACAGGGGAGCGCGCAGTGAGCGAATCTCACTAGTCTTGGCTGCCAGCCTGCTGGCCCGTAGGGGTCAGTCTCACCCATGTCCCAGCCAACCAGGACGGGGACTCCCTCTGCATACGTGACCACCTCTAGAGCAGAACGTGTCCCTGACTCATCCTGCTCCCCCTCTAGCCACGGGAGGCAGTCCTTTCTCAGCGGGAGGGAAGACAGAAGGGAACACAAACACAGTGGCCCCCAGTGATCCCCCTCACTACGGGCAGGAGACAGCTGTCCCCGCCACCCCCCACTGCTGCTTGCCACATGCGATCCCGCCCCTGGGGCTTCCCAGCAGGCCCCTTTTCCCCACCTCCATCACCTGCTTCCAGCCTTTACCTCCAGGTCCTCAGAGAGTTCTCTTCCGGGCCACCTTCCTTACAGGTACCAGCGACCCCCCCCCCCCCCCGAGTGTCGATGCCACCGCGATTCCCCTGCCTGCCCGAGGCTGCCTCAGGTGAACTGGCTCCCAGGTCCCCACGCAGGGTTCCTGCTGTGACAGGTGAGCTCCGGCACAACCTGAGGGCAGAAACATCCTGGAGCTCAGTTCCACCCAAGTCCCCCGACCCTGACCGACGTCCACGTGAGAAAACCACCTGCGGCTCCCCAAGAGGCGGCTCCACCGGCCAAGAGCACACCACGCTAACGCGCCACTTACATCCCCTGGTCACTTCAGACGCTGCAAAGTCTCCGTGACCTCCATGTCTGTCTTAAACCCAAATCAATTCCCTGCTGGAGACGAAAAACTAGTAAGACTCACTTCTAATACTGGAAAATCAAGTGTTCTGTTCTTGGCAAGCCAGATCTACTGGGGGAAAAGAAGTCTAACCACCGTCTCCTGAAGTCATTCAGGGGGCTCCAAGCGGGAAGCCAGGCACTCACATTTCCTCACAGCGAGCCCTTCATGGCCTTGCCCTTCCAACCCCACCTCGCGGGGCCTCCGACAAGCGTGCTGCCAACAGCAGGGTGCCCGTGCGGAGGCTCTCATGCACACGCACACCGCTAACCCTGGTGCTCTGCGTGGAGCATCAGGTGGCTCAGGAGGGAAGGAACCCTGACCTGGTCAGCCCTGGTCAAGTGCTGGCCTCTCAGCAGCCGCCTCCGAGCTCCCGGATAAAGGGACTGAAGCACATGCTGGCTGCCCCACGAGTTTCTTGAAACGGAAGACGAAAACAGCCTTCTGCTCAGGACGTGGGGGTTAAATCTGAACTGAGTCAGGGTTTGCTTATGCTTGAAATGCTGTCACGGGTTTGTTGACTCTCAGTCCTGTAACCCAAGTTTTTCATAAATCACGTATGAGAATAAAAAAAAATACCCTGAAAAATTCAAGGGTGGAGTCCGGAAAGCATAGCCCAGTTCACATGGGGCGGAACCTAGGGCGAGCCTGGCAGGCGCCCGCACCACCGTGTGCATGGCACCGACCATTTCTCCTTCATCCCAAGTCAATATTTCAGGAAGAAATTCACAGGAGTGAATTTCTACGGCTAAAGCCATGGTCTGAAGCGCCGGCATCCCATATGGGTGCCAGTTCTAGTCCCGGCTGTTCCTCTTCTGATTCAGCTCTCTGCTATGGCCTAGGGAAGCAGAAGTTGGGCCCCTGCACCCGCGTAGATCTGGAGGACGCTCCTGGCTCCGGATCGGCTCAGCTCCGGCTGTTGCGGCCATTTAGGGAGTGAACCAGTGGGTAGAAGACCTTTCTCTCTGTCTCTACCTCTCTCCGTAACTCTTTCAAACAAATGAAATAAATCTTAAAAAAAAAAAAAAAAAAGGAAATTCACAGGAGCTACAGCAATGTGACTCAGTCTGAAGGAGTCATTCTAGAGACTGTACACCCCAAATCCACTCTCCACACGTTCACAGTCGTGAGCGCAGCCGGACTCAGAGGCAAGGCCTGCCATCAGTGTTCACCAGGACTCGCACACATGATGGTTAGTTAACACACTATGGCTCTAACTTCAGGAACTCTGAACAAATATGCCCCACACATTTGGACAATACTGTAGCCAATAAACACAAGGACTTCAAATGTTAAGTAACAAAATCTAAAGAATGCTAGTGGCATGAACACACAGAAGTTTCTCATTTGCAATATGGTCACTGGGTTCACAGGTATTTTGCACTGGCTGATTCTTCACCAGCTCGCAGGGTAAGCGTAGAGGAACCAGAGGGAGAGTTCAAGTGTGATGCGCAGCACAGAAGGTGTGCTGAGGACGCGGGCAGAGATCCTGTCCATTCCTACCTGATCATGGTCACAGACACACTCATTTCCAGAGCCCAGCACGAGAGTCACGCGTGACCCCTGACCTGTCACACATGGCATCAGAGCACGAAGCACTGAGCAGAAGCCAGCCTACCACTGGCCTAAAATTCTACTGTGCAGATTCAAGTAAAACGAACCAAAAAGGTCAATGGAAAAAAGTTAGTTTTCCAAACATCCACTGTGGAGAGACAGAAACTGCCCAGAGGTGGGACGTGCTGAAGACCGGCACCACCCACCGAGGTCAGCAGCCGCGGCCATAGGGCTGGACGTGAAAGGCCGACAGAGCGTAAGGACAGCGCGCAGCCCTGGGGCCCTCTGGCGGTGCTCTCCTCGGGCCAGTCCAGTGCTGTGCAGCCTACGATGTGCAGCAGGGACCGAGTGAGTGACACAGAACATTCTCGCCAAGCCCGGCTCTGACTTCACCATCTGCAATGCTGCATTCTAATTATTCTAACACTGTGCTGTGCTCCTGAGGAAGGAACGAACAAGGGGCTGTGCAAGCAGAGCCAGCTTGAAGGGGCCGGGACTGGCCAGACAGAAGACAGTGTGCACACAATAAAGACAGTAATAAATTCTAAGTAACTGAAAAATCTAGAACCCCCAAGTCCACAGCAGTAGTAAACAGGTAAGAAAGGAGGGGCGAGGGAAGCTCTTGCTGAAAGCGGAACGCTGAGCGTCACAGCTGGGAAACTATCATTTTGTAACCATCAGAGTGGGGATGACTCAGAAGTCACTAACAGCTCCTAAATCTAGGGTACGCGTGTGGATGGGAATAAGGAATTGTGCTTGCAACAGAAAGAAATACTGAGGATGCAGCGTGCAAGTCAGACATCGCTTCCAGCAGACCGCCACGTTTACAGCACACACGAGAGGAAAGCGAAGACCGTATGCAGACGGTCCCCTGACAGGGCCCAACAGGACCTGGACAGCACTCCAGCCGAGAGCGTGCAGCTGAGCCCAGCAGTGCAAATCTGGCGCTGCTAAGTCGAGATCCTGTGCCCCCAACGAGTTACACGGTTTACCTTCACACCGGTTCTTACTGCAGTGCTGAACTAGCTACCTATTTGTTTTCTGAGAAGAACACAAGATTCCATTGACGGGTGGCTAGTCCAGTGCTGGCTGAGAGAGACGAGAGGTGTGCTGGGGGAGAAGGATGACCTACACCCTACTTAGCTAACATGAGACAGTGACAGACACGGTTAAGATCTGCAAGCTGAGGCTGGTTGGGGCTGCAACATAGTGGGTTAAGCCACTGCTTTCAACAACCGCATCTGTATCAGCGTGCTGGTGGGAGTCCTTGTTATTCTGCTTCTGATCCGGGTTCCTGCCAATGTGCCTGGGAGGCAGCAGTGGTGGCCCAAGCACTTGGGTCCTTGCCACCCACATGAGAGATGCCGACGGAGTTCTGGGTTCCTGGCTTTGGCCTGGCTTTTCTGGGCATTTGAGGAGTAAACCAGTGGGTGAAGACCTCTCTCCTCCCTCTCCTTTCTCTCCTCTCTCTCTGCATTTCAGGTAGATGAAAATAAACAAATATCCTGGGGGTGGGGGTGGGGTCCTGTGAGCCAAACAAATTGCAGCTACAGATTCATTTTTGTCTCTCCTAGGAGAGCAGGGCCCTTTTCTCAAACAAAGCCAATAAAACCTGGTTTCATACCTAAGTGTAGAACACGACGCCCAAAGGACACTGACCTTCCCCACTAGAAGGCAGAAGCGCTGCTGACCTCTTGGTAACAGAGGGGGCTGGAGGGGGGTGGGCACTGT